AGTTTTTATGTTAAATATTTACTTTTGGTGTTTAAATAACAAAATGATTGAACATTTTTATTTAAATAGATTTAGACTTTCATTTATTTATTTGCTACGAGAAAGACTCTTTTGATAATGATGACCTATGTCAATTATAATTCTAATTTAAGGTGACACCAGATATTTCGGTTTCTCAAACGTTGCGATTTATTTAAAAATAGGTAAAAGAAACATTGGTGGCGATTCTGGCGTGATTCTTTAGAGAATCCTAAACCTAATCTTAAATTTGACAACAGTGTATACCTGTCATTCTCTATACAGAAAAAAAGGAGAGACTGATGTTTAATTTAGTTTTAAGTTTAGATAATCATGCCGGAGTCGACACGATAGACCCATTTAAAAAGCAATAAAAAAAATAAGCATTAGACATTAACCCCCATATTAATAAACGCAGAATAAGGTTGGATTAGTTAATCCATGTCTTGGCTCTGTCTACTTAATGACAAATGGCATTTGAGTGGCAAGAACAAAACACGGCGTAAATAGTCCGAGCTTATTCCTTATTTGTTAATAAGGGGATATAAGTAATGGTCTCAAATGAAACGACAAAAAAAGAAAGCCAATTGAAAATTCTCCATTGTTACACTTACAACCTTAACCTCATTAAAGGCTATTCATACTAGGAGTTTATTTTTAAATTGCGAACGAGTTCAGTCAAAGTATATTTGCATTGGGAAACACAGGTGCACTACACTGATCAATACGTAAGTACGTGTATTACATACAATGTTATTGTATAAGGAAAACATTGGCCGAAATATTACGAAATCACGTGGCGAATTCGCAGAAAACCATATAGTGATTTATGTATATTTATTCGACCCAAATTAAGACGAGTCACCAGGGCGCGAACAGTAGGCGTCGCGGTCTAAAGGTCGGTGCTCGATTGAATTTAATTCAAAGTCATTATGACAGGTGGGCAATATGTCAAAAAACTTCGGTCAATGATTTTTTGTCATAAAGGCATTTATCACAATCAAATATTAATATATTTAAGATAGTGTGTTAAATTCTTAATAATATCATATTTAATCAAACCTAAATTCATCATCAAAAGAGCACACAGGGCTTCCCTATGGATGGAATAGGGAGACTGGGCCGTGACCCACCACGCGAGCCTAGTGATGCTTAATGGTTGTTAACGACTGCAGAGCCGGGACGCCGACACGTAAAGCCGTTACGTGCCTTTCGAAGCACCGAGGACCTGGAGATAGTAAGTTGTTGGTCACCCATCCAATGAACATCCAAAGTTGTTTAACTTTAACGATCGCAGGCCGAAAGCGCTACCACCTGCGCCATCGTGCCCGTCAACTTTGTTAGCATTAAGTTACATTATTAAAAATACTTTTCATTTATAAACAAACAGTAGTTAGGTACCTATTACTCGGCCCGCTATTGGGGTCTACTGATTAGTCGTTATAATTCAATTACTATTGGTTTAATGAGGAGCTTGGTGGCGCAAGTGGTTAGCGCGTGCGGCTGCAATCGTTGAAGTTAAGCAACTTTCGCAGTGGTCGGTCATTGGATGGGTGCCAAAAAAATTTCTATCTTGAGCTTCTCCGTGCTTCAGGAGGCACGTTAGGTTAGGTTGGTGACGGCACACCCCAGGGTTTTAGTGGGAAGGCCAGTATGGAGAGTCCCACATAACCTTACCCACCCAGTAGCAGGGTATTCCCTGGGTAAAAAAAGAAAAAAAAGTGGAGTGTGAACGACTGCAGATGCAGCTGGGAACAACGGACAAATGCCGTAACAGACATATCAACTCTGAAAGGTACTCACTGTATTAATTCTAGTCGTTCAGTATGGTTTGTATGGGACTCCCTATTGCAACGCACACTAATCGGAATCAATACGTTGAATATACGAGTACAGGTACCAAACCACAATAATTATAACTATAATTATGCTGGGTTGTCATCTGTGTTAAGACTTTTCATATTTTACAGTTAAATGGTAGCGATCCCGTTAATAACTATAATGTTTTAATGACCATGACACTTTAAAACAATATTTTCATTTAATAGACATATTTGTGGCAAATAATATTTTATTATTTATAGTCTTATTTTTGTTTTTTTTTTTTAATCTCTAATCACTCAGCTAATTCTAGATTAAAAACCAAATATTTTTAAACAAACAGTAACAAATATTGTTAATTAATATTGGTCGATATTTTTTTTTAATTTATTGAGATTTGGCTATGGATGGTTGATAACCTAAATCTCAAACTTCAGATTACAATAACAGAATCCTAAAACAATGGTTGCTCAGCAACGAAAACAACTGGGTTAAGAATTCTTATTTTTGACAGTTACTACTTGGATAAATTTCTTATCAATAAATTGGATTGAAAAATGTTGCTCGAGTACTTTTATTTGAAACATGATTAGCATTGAAACGGTCGTCAACAACATTGGTCCATAGAAAGTTTAAGGAAAATATTATCCGTAAGGATAAAATGCAGATACATTACTGATGTGAAGAAATCTTTGTTAGCATGTTGTTGTTGACAGTTTGGTAAACAGTAAATTATATGATGCAATTTGATACTATATTTCATTAACGATATACATAGGTAGGTTATCAAAACATTTTATAAAGTAGTATTATTTTGTTTGTTAAAGTGAAACTTCTTACACGCACGCTTGACTTGGGGGGTAAGCTGGCGAAAGCGTTACGCGTTACGAAAAGTGTGTCCGGGCGACGCAACGGGAGTTCAGTGGGGGATATAAGCAAGAAAAAGCAGTGCGCGCGTACATTTTCTTTCTCTCTTTCTCTTATAGCTAGTAAATGAAATATGTATATGTACATACATGTATATAGTGTACATATATATATATATATACCTAACCTAACCTAACCTAACCTAACCTAACCTATATATATATACATACAGATGGAGTTACAGAAGTTTCACTTCAGTCGTGTGGTCATAAGCACACTCGGTTTTTTTTATGTTTCGTACTCAATACATGACGAACGGCACCGCATTAATATGCCACTCACAGAATGCGTGTTACTATGCCCGCTCTGCTATCACAACAAAATAATAAAAATTAAATAAACGTCATCTCTACATACGAAAATTGATTTGTTTTGCTCCATTTAGTCTTAAAAATTATATGGAAAGTTAGGGCGCTTGTTTACAACCGGTTTTCTTTCGGGTCTAGCTAGGCACGGTTGCTACCCGGGCCGGTGCCGGCTAAGCTTGTTCACGAGCAAGGTTTGCTAAAATTAAGCATGTTGCATTACATTAATTGTCATTAAAAAGTTCAAAGATCATCAACAAGCATCGGTGGTTCAGTGCTACAGAGTGCTACTGCTACGCATGCGGCCCGGGTTCGATTCACATTTATTTTAGATCCCAACCTTTATATTGGAAACAATGGTAACAAGCATATTCCCAGAGCAATACGTAAAACAATTTCGCATATTAAAAATACCTAATCCTGCTAAGTGATAGAAAAAAAAAAAAATATAGCCTTTTAGGTTAAGAAAGTTGAGTTTCATATCAACTGGAGTATTCAATGTTATCTTCTGCTCCTATTATAGGATTATAGAACGAATTTTATTTTCTCGTTACTAATTTAACAAGGAGAACAAAGTTACAATTTCTCTTATACTGATAACGAAGCTAATCAGCTTCATACCTTCAAAATATAAATAATTGTGCCACTACTAATTGGATGAAAATTTGGTTATGCTTCAGATTATTACAGTTGAGAGATATCGCTTGAATTTCTTAAGATGAAAATAGAAATAACAATATCTTTATATAATAAATAAATCATCTTAAGAGAGATGTATCCTAATTCTGATTGAATTGAGTGCCTTTCAATTTTTCTTGTTATAAGTTACAATAAGGTAGTAGGTAATACATTACTGCTGGAGCAAAAACTTCTGACACACGCACAAAACAATGAAAGCATTTTCATTTAAAATAGCTATAGTCTACTTAATGCACGGTTTTCCCTTGCAATTCTACCAAACAGCACTGATAAGCACCAAAATTTGGCTGTAGGTTCAACTTTCCCTGTACTTTAAAGTTATCAACCACGCCACCCCTTCTCGGGGAGGATTTTTTTCAAATAAGTATGAAAATGGAAACCATAACTTATTTTAAGCAACGATTGTTTATAAACTTTTTAATGAAACTCAATACTTTAGGACTTATTCGACAGTGAACACATAAATTTTTAAACAAGAAAAACTACGTTTAAATTTCGATTCGAAATACGATTTTCCATGAATAACTCTGTAAATAAGTATTTTATGAAAAATATTATTCAAAGTAAAATTGTAGCTTAATAAAAGACAAACAAAATCATCGGTTTAAAATAACACTTAATTGAATACTAACTGAGTGATAGATTGTTAAAGTTTGGTTCTTCTTCGTGGAAAGCCAAATCAAAAGTTTCAACATGAAATACAAAACAAAAAAAATGAATTTTTCAGAGAACATCAACATTTTTGACCCTATTTTTTTAGCGACAAAAAATCCTAATTGAAAGTGAACCCATTTGAAAGTGATCGCTATCACTTTATAATTTTCTTAATTTGTGCTCTTGCAATATGCCCCATAAGTTGGCCGGTTTAAATAGCTTAGTTTTGAGAAAAAAAAAGTTGAAGTGCAGAGCTTTTTCGGGAAGTTTGCAAAATCACACAAACAAACACATTAAAACGATTGAGGACGAATAGTTTGTTTTATCAATAGTTTATTTACTCAAAAAGAAAGGTTTTTACTTTTGAATAAACCCAAAGAAAATATTTACTAGAAAATAATCCACTCGGTTCAGATTTCAGGCATTTCAGGATTCGAATCCGCATTTTCCGCAATCTGGGCGGACGCACTATTTGTTTTTATTTTCACAAAAAAACACATTACCCAAAAATAATAATAATAACTTAAATAATTATTTTAGATCAATTTATGTAATAAGAAGATTAGTATAACTTACCGACTATCGACATAAGAATTTGATTGTGTTTGCTCCCCGTCTTCTTTTCCGTCGTAGAATTAATTTTATACACCTTATTCACCATTTTGAATCTTTATTTCACAGTCTATCGATAAAGCAAAAAAAAACACAGTTTTTATTTAATTATTTCTAACGTGATCACCAATTTTTTGTATATTTCTTATTCCACTTAAAAAGTTTTTAAAACTACAAATAATGTTAATTGATCTTTTCTAAATATGAAAATCGAATTTAAATAATGTTCATACCGCTTTCTTATTTTATTTAAAAAAAAATATTCAATCACCACTTCTGTAAATTCAAATTTCGAACCAGGAAAACTTTTTAAATACAGAAACGAATGTTATTCTTTCGCCGTATAGGCACGTTTGAAAATGTAAACAAATAAACTTGGAACAGATATTACACGGCGTGATGTGTGATATAGTGACAAGACGCGTCCGGTGGATCGCCTTTATGAGTGCGTCTGCGTCTCGAAGTCGCTCAAGTACATCCCTTTATATTGGCGAGAATCGCCGCGTACGTAGAGTGCCATCTTGGACCGGGGGATGAACTAAGTAGATAATGCTTATCAGAAAAAAAATTGGATCCATCCAGTTACCAACTTTAATGGTAGTCTTTACAGATACCTAAAAGGTGTATACATTAGATGACTATTAAACCATTAATGGTCTGTTGATTATTTTAACTCGCACGTGTTCAGATTAGCTGGTTGTATTAGATTTGCTTTTTAAGAAAACGCTAGAGTTGTTATTTTGAAAGTTTGTTCCAAGGGAAATATGTTGGTGCATAAATATTTTACATAAACTTTGTAAGTATACAAAAATATTGAATACTACTGTTAATAAATCACCATACTCCTTCTGTTGATTTATTCACAGCGGTATAACTTGACGTATGTGATTCCTAGCATATAAAAAATAAAGTTATAACTACAAATACTGCATCATCGAATGTATAATAAAAAAGCAACCGGTCAAGTGCACGGACTCGCACATGAAAGGTTCCATACTGCCATATCTATACAATATTAGACACTAGATTATAATATCGATCAAAAACTCATCACGTCTGTTGTATGGGAGCGCACCTAAAATATTTATTGTTTTTTTTATTAGTTAATTGAAGCGAATATACAATTTAATATTATGTAAATATTGCAAGCGTTTACCCGTTGCCGTTATTAATACAGACCAAAAAACGGCAAAAAACACGTTTGTTGTATGGGTACCCCTTTAAATATATATTTGATTCTGTTTTTGGTAGTTTTTGTTAAAGCGGCAACAGAAATACATTATCTGTAAAAAAAATCTAGCTATCACGTTTCATGAGAAACAGCCTGGTAACAAACAGACAGACAGATAATGGAGTCTCAGTAATAGGGTCCCCTTTGGACACGGAACCCTACAAAGCTCTCGATTTCTCTACACCGCGGCTTAAAAAAGCAGGTTGATTGTATAACTAGCCAACCTGCTTTTTCATCTACAATGGAAATAACTCTTATGGCTTGATCACACGTACCGAGCAAACGAGCGAGACAGGGCTCTCGCCACGTACTCTGTACGTATAAACATAGCGCCGAGTGCTCGGCCGGGTGATCTTACATGAGTTTTTAACTTCCATCACTTTCTCGGCCGAGAAACATTTTACTGTCTCGCCCGTTTAGTCGGTATGTGTAATCAAGGCATTAAAGTGAGTTCAATAGTTCAGTGACCTTTGCTTTTTGTAAATAAATATTGGTATGAATATAGTATTATAGATAAGTAATGGTGCGGTTTGGTCTAAAGTTAATATTTTTATAACTTTTTATGTTAATCAATCGTGCACAAATGAGGTTCAGGTATAGAAAAAAAGTTACAAAAACTAGGTAGGTATAATATAATATATATATATGTATTTGTTTCTTAGGTTTTCACGCACATCACTCATTAAATCAAACTAGTTTTAACGGGTTAATCACAGACATAGATAGTGTCTGTGGGGTTAATGCACGAAACTTTATTTATTTATTGACGTTTCGCAGCCTTTTCAGGTCTGCATCGACAGAATACTGATTTTCATTCAATTTTGTCGAGCTACCTTCGAAAGACTTTTATTGAGCGTTCGGTTATTTCAATGGAAGATTTTTAAAATTTTATTGTCTTAGTATGTATGAATTCATAAAGTTAATAAAGTACTTTATTTAAAATTCTTTTTTGTTATTTTGAGTTTCTTTATTTGACCCTAACTACACCGGTTAAACCAACACCGGGTAAATTACCACCGGTTCCAAAATTGGGAGACCTTTGAGATTGATATACCTATATAGGTTGTGGCAAACTTCTTGAGCAAAATCATTGAAAATCACAGACATATAAACTAACGCAGCAGACGTTTTTGTATGTCAAATTGTTACTGCGCAGGCTTTCCTGTCTATTGTCGATGCTCAAGCCCCATTATTAATAAACGAAGACTACGCTTGGATTCGTTACTCCATGTTTTGTTTTTGTCTACTGAATGATAAAAGCAATTGAGTGACATAAACAAAACACGGCGTAACAAGTCTAAGCTTATTCCTTGTTTATTAATACGCCCTCGGGGAGTCTCTGAGGAGCGCGATGGCGCGGGTGGTTAATTTTGGCTGTGATCGTTGAATTTAAGCAAAGGAGATTGCTCAGCTTCCATACATGTTTTGCCTAAAGACCAATAATCATGAAAAATTGTTTCCTAGATTCAAAATTATATATAAATTACTGTAGAAACGAATATTATTGACGGACACCCCTGAGAACTTCTATAAACCATATACACTGAACATATTAAAAAAATAAAAAACAAATAAGTTATGTAGTAAGCTAAGGAAATTAAGCCAAGTACCGAAATTATGGATTAAATTCAGGTATATAGAGCATGTAGATTAACAGATAGTTGCCTGTTTTTAAAGTTAATGCATAAGAGTAACTTTTAAAATCAGGTGTCATCTATGCACTTCCGGTTATAATAAGGTACTCTGTGACAGAAACTGTGTGATGATTGTGAATGAGCCACAGATTAGAGAGAATTTTTAAACTCTCGTTAACAAAAGAAAGCTAAGAGATTTAGGTTATATAGCCATATATTCAGTAGCTTCATTATTTTTGTTGTTTTTAATATAACCATATTTTAGATTTTTAGTGTATCACACCTCATAATTTTATTTATTTATTAATTTATAGTCAGCCAACGTAGGCCCATAGATAGATACCTTAAAGTTTAACATAAATACAGATTATAATGTGCTTATGGAGGTGTTTGGCGAAAAATGTATGGCAATAGACTTTATGATGTCACCTACCATCTATAATAATTGTCTGAGCACAATTGCATGTAGTGAAAATGATAATATAGTTGTGGATATTAATACCACAGTGTAATAAAAAAAATTATCGATCTGTACAAAATAGATTTGTTTTTATGTTATATAAACAACTTCGATCAGTCTTTGGCTGAATGCCACTCATAGCCATTAAAAATGATTCGTATGTTTTCCAAACCGGTAAAATTAAAAGTTCTTTTTAAAGTAAATATATGATACAAAGGTGTCCGTTGAAATCTAATGATTGTAAATTAAATTATAAAATTCGCCAAGAATTACCGTGTATGTCAATATTTTTTGTGCATTTGTTTCAATTTGAGCAATCTCCTTTCTTAGTGATCGGTCATTGGATGGGTGACCAAATACCTTCTATCTTGAGTTCCTCCGGAGGGCACGTTAAGCCGCTGTTCCCGGGTGTATCTGCAGTTGTTTGTACCCGTCAATCCGCACTGGGCCCGCGTGGTGGGTCATGGCCCAATCTCCCTATTCTATCCGTTGGCAAGGCCTGTGCCCCAGCAGTGGGGACATTAATAGGCTGATGATGATGCCAGAAAGACTTTGTACTAATAGGGTATCGTAATTGTCCTAATTAATTTCCATAATAAAGGCGGGGAAACCTAAACGAACAAAATTTCTGAACGCTGTTCATTTAGTTCTTAATGTCGATAAACATTAATTATCTGTATTGATTCTCGTGGCAAGCCTAATGGGCATTAAATTGGCATCGCGGGACAAACCTCACTTCCACAAACGATGTTCTAATTCATAAAATACGTATTTTTAATGATCTAAAACAATACGGTATTAACAGTTATTTGACAAAGATTAGTTATCCAAGATTAAGACAGGTGGGGCATAGCGGATTTTCCAGTTCGAATTGGAGTGCCCGTCTGAGGGAGTAACCTCCACTTTACAGAGGATAAATAAAATAACACTACTTTTTGATGGTGTCGTGTTTCTGTCAATATGTGAGACATGAGAATAATCAAACTCCTTTTATACCATATTTTTATGCAATAAATTATTATTATTTTTATTTTCGGTGAGGTCCCAGGGCTCCAAGGAGTAGGGTCAAGGTAGGCAACGGTGCCACGGTAATATTAGATAATATTACCGTGATGGTGCGAATGATTTTTGGTATCGCAAATGTTTCGATGGATAGGCCATGGTGGTCGCTTACCATCAGGTGGGCCACACGCTTGCTTGCCACCCTTCTAACATAAAAAAAATGTTTGCCAAAGATTAGATATGCAGGATCTAATTTGTTAATATTTAGCTTAACAATAGGAATACCTATTGTTAAGCTAAATATTAACTCGTGAAATGAAATGAAAAGTCATTTATTCAGTCTAGGCTGTTACAAGCACCTGTGAAGGTCAAGAAGCTACGCCATCGGTTCGCAAAACTACGGCGGGAGACCTTGTACTGAGAAGAACCGGCAAGAAACTCAGCAAGGGCTGCTTTTTTCCCCCTGTATTGATATATACAGAGTCGTCAAGTTGAAAAATGACTTCAGAGATACTTCTGAAGTCACCTTCCATTACATCATTTAGGATATTGATATATATTTACAATAAATTTTATATTTAGTATATAGGAAGCGGCCTTTGATAGGTACCATATTACTGTTACAAAAACTGACTCATACCCATCAAATAACAAATTACAAGAAACACTATGTCCATGCATTACGATATTTACGATCATTTAGATAATCATTATCATCACTAATAATATATAATAGCCCTTATTCATAAGAGAATTCTTGATCTGAGATTTAAAGGACATCGACGAAATCGGCCCTAGCATGCCCAAAAGAATGTCCTTCACTATTATTTTTCTATTATTTTTTTTAACTTGTTAGCAATTAATC